CTATGATTAATGCAGAAAGACCGCCCCTCAACATGGCTTTTAAAAGTAGCACCAATAATAACATTATCACAGATTTTACATTTCTTCTTTCCGCACTTAAACATCCCTACGACCGTTTCCTCTTCCCTTCTCAATTTAGAACGGACTAGGTGATCTTTAAGGTTTTTAGACCGACGAAAACACACCATTGGTGGTTCTGGCATAATACTTAAAAACCTTTCAGACCAGCTTACAATTACTTGCAATTCCCTAAAGATATTGTAAAGGACCCTCAATGCTGGATGATAATCTATCACAAAACAATTCCTATTACTATTCTTAACACCTTCTTTCCGCATTAACAAATTATTCCTGTCGACTTTTCTCACTCTACCAAACTGGTCATCAACAAAATCCGAATTATAGCCCCTCTTGACCAAAAAACCTCTTAGCTCGCTTAGTTTTTCCTCAAAAGCATTTTCCGAGTTACAAATTCGCTTTAAGCGCAAATATATATATATATATATATATTATAGTCAGATAACATGCGATTGAGTCGACAGTATTACCGGAAATGAATCAATTCTGAGTACAAGATGTGAAGGGCACAGGTCCTGACCACTGTTCCACAAACACTCAACAATTGGCAGATGTTTCTGAGCACTTACCTCATCAAGAATCAAAGTATTGATCGATCTTGGTCCACGCCACAAGAAATTGCTTCCACAACTTCCATGAAATGCCAGTCTTCCCGAAGAGCTTGACGGCGTTACCTCCACACAACTATCCGAACTTTCTTTGCTTTCTCTTGGTACGTCGACTTGTGCAGACTCCGATTTATCTTCTGTTATTAACTCTGGTTTTCTGATTATATTTTCTGCTGGTAGACCGGTCGTATCCGTTGCTGGTAGCCCTACATTCTCGGTCGTCAGTGGAGCAGAGATGTTGCTGTTAGGATTGGAGTAGTAATTGCAGACCGTTGGCTTATCGATGCACGGTGCCTGGCATTTAAGTGCAATTCTGTTGCCAATAGATTCCTCCATTGTAACAGCTTCGTCATGTAAGACTACATCAGGTTTTTGAGAAGCTTCTAACCATTTCTCCACCATATCAGACATTGTCAATTTTCCCTTCATTTTATTCAAGCGTTGTGCGTTAAATTGAGGGATTTGACCTTCAGGTAACATGTTCATCGAAGCCATTGTTCCTCCTAGAAAACGTTTGGGACTTGTCACCTGCTGAACGAAATTCTCTTCAGTGGAACGCCCTTCCATGATATTATATCCATCGGTTATTGAGTTCTTGGGTGCTGATTTCAATGCATCCAGTAGTGTGTATACTTTAGAATCTACTTGTAGTGCATTTACTTTGGTAATAAGGACTTTAGTCTCTGTTTCATTACCAGCGCAAGTTGTTGAGTTCACAATGCCCACAGAATTTTCAATATTTTGGTTAACGGTTTGCAGAGCTAAGGTACTTTCTTTTACTACCGAGCTTTCACTTTCAGTTTTCCAAGTTTCCTTCACATATTTGTCGGCATTGATTTCTAAATCGTCTTCAAGCGGTTCGATTTTATTTTTTGTTGTTGGTGCCTGTACTTCTCTTACTTCTACTGGGGTCTCGGTTAGCGTCTTTACGTCTTTACAGGTACGTTGGCCATCCTGGAGCTCACTTGTGTTCTCTTCATCATAACTCACAAGTCGTCCGAATTCAGTTGTTGTCACTGGTGCCTTCATTTCCTCTGCATTTTCGATTATGGTTTCAGTCACTTTCATGGAGGTTAGTTGGTCATCGTGGTGCTCATTTCTACTCTGTCGTTCGATTCCATTTTGCGTCATTGGTGTATGTACTTCTAATTCTTCTTCTGAAGTTTCGGTTAGGGTTTTGACATCAGTTAGAGTTCGTTGGTTCGCCACCAAGCTTTCCGCTTTAAAAGTGCCGTCCATATTTTTGTAGGCATTCACTTTTAAATAACCTCCATTTCGATCGATTCCATTCTTCGCCAATGCATATGGAGTCTGTATTTCAATGATATCTAACGCTTCTTCTGGGCTTTCGGACAGCTTTATCACTTCTATAGACGTTATTTGGTCATCTTGGTATTCAGTTGTGCTTCCTTCATGAAAAACGTTATCCGGATTTTTGTATAGGGTTACCACTTCTTTAGCGGTTAGATGGTCATCTTGAGAACCACTTACGCTGTCATGAAGATAGATTTCATTAGTACGTAATTGTTCACGTCCATCGTTGTCTTCCATGATAGCCATAATCTGCTCATCATCGTCGTCAATGGTATCATACAATTCACAGTTGGTGATTTTTAATACAGGAGGAAACGTGAATTGCGGTATAAAATTCAGGTTGGTGGAGGACGGGTGATAAACGTTGGTATTATAGTCATCATACGTGTTAAGAGGGACTTCTTGGTCTCTTAAATCATCTTCTTCCGGGTCTGAAAGTATCACCGTATCATTGTCACTATCCTCTTCGTCACTTATGTCGTAGAATTTCACGGAAACAATGTTTTCGCGGAAATGTACCGTTTTCTTTGCTTGGTGGTCATCTTTCTTTAAGATCGATGTTAGGTTGTGGTATTCTTTGTGGGAACTCTTTGTTTCTGATAGGTTTGTCTCATTAGAAGAGGTGTAACTAATCGTGTTCATTTGGGGAACTTGCTTTGCAATGGGATCACCGTTATCGTTGTTTTCCACATTTGTATGGGATACAACTTGATCAAATGTATCTATAGCATACAAATTATTCATTTATAATTAAGATTTGTACAAAATAATTTAATGGTACATCACGGACAAATGCACATTTACTAAAATGAATAGCTATACCTTGCTTGCTTGTTTTAACTCCTTCATTAATTTGGTCCTTGAATCCAATAGGTGGCCAATGAAAAGTCTTCACAGCATCTCCTGTTGGAAGAAAGGATATTCTTTGATAGTTTCAAGCCATAATACACCCTTCTGGAAAGTGCTCAGCCTTGGCTATAGTCTAGAGCCTCGTTTTCGTGATAGAGATATCAGGTTTAGAGCCCCCATCTTGTTACAAGTTTACACATTTATGAAACGATACAGTCATATCAGTGAATATAAAAGACTTGTCTATAATTTTGTAATCACTAATCAGTACAAGACAAATGTCTCAAACACGGAAACAAGGCTCTATACCATCCCTGCAGGGTACGAGGATGCTATACTATAGCCACAGATAGGTACTTTCCGAAACGGTGTATTAAAATATGTATACATTTTGTCTATATTTGCCTATCTGGGAGTCAATTTTCCATGTGCTAATACTGCAATATTGAATATTATAAACTAATAAGATCTGGTATACCACATTTTGTCCAATTATAAATGAACTTCTGATGAATATCTATAGCTGACATAGCTTTGTGCACATACCTTGCACCAAAGGTGATGTAAACTGCTCGAACTCTCTGCCCTCCGATAACTTATCCGGGTTTATTTCGCTTTGTTTTGAGAAATTTTCAGATTCTTCCAGGTAGCCCATTGCTTCCAAACTGGCTTGAGGTACCGTCGAGTGTTCATTATTTTGGCTCGCTTCTATTTCTGATTTTAAACAACCCTGAGATGGGACAACTTGTCCTGGGGCGTCGACGACTTCAAAAGAAGTCAGTTTTGTTTCTTCGGAATAGTTTTCTTTCAAATGTTCGTCTTTTCTGTTCAAACTGTTTTCTGTTTCGTTCGCATGTAGACTGGCCGTACTATATTCCTGAATTTCATCGACTATTTCAGTTTCCATATCTCTTTTGTAATGTAAACAACTTCAGAAAAAGTTTGCCATTTTTGAAACAAGTTCTCCGATAAATTATTTCGCAAACTTCGCAACTTCAGCGGTTTAGTTTAACACATCAACAGATGCAGAATGCTTTGAACGTTATAAAGAGTGATTTTCAAGCCACAATTAAGAAAAAATGACAAGAAAAACTATAAAAAACAGTGTTGTTTTCTTCAATATATAAAAATATATGAAAACAAAAAATTTTAAGCTTTGGCGGGAAAATGTCACATGACAAGGGATCAAAGGTACGCTTTCAAAAGGACTGGGAAGAGTTCGAGGAAGAGAAAATGCAAATTAGCCAAAACCATTTGTTTTTGAACGAAAAAGAGCAAGTACAATTATTTCCAGTTCCTTTTGGACATTTAGTAAAGTTTTTCCAATGTTTCTCAAATAATCAACTAATATTTCATGCGCGAAACACAAGGAATTCAGCACCGTATAGTGTGTTGAAAAGTATGACGATAAACTTGCCAAATTAACCCATTAAGCTGCAATTCACCCAGACGCACACAAATTTATTACTTTACTCTGTCTAATGCTGGACGACTTTACTCGTCAAGGGAAGAGTCTTGCGTATTAATGGTTGTATTATATGTAATATAGACTTGAAGGCGTTTATTATAAACATTATAATAGTACATAAAACTCAGCAAAATATGTAAAAAAGTCAGACAGTGTCTCGTTTTTCAAAACACTTTTCCAAGTGTCAAATCATTGTATAAAAAGATTGCAAATATAACATTGTTCTCTCCACTCTGTATTTAATTATAAGTTGTCTTCGTATTTTACCAGCAAATGAGATGGCCTTTATGTTTTTAATTTTGGTATTGTGCAAATCGAACTGTCAGTATACCTGTTGCGTGGAAGTGTTTTTGTTTTGAAAAACACAGCAGGTAAAGGCGGAACATACTCGGCAACCACATATTTTAAATCTTGCAGAATGCGTCCTGTTTAGCGTCTGTTAAACGAGAGGCAAGCAGCCGAAGTGAAACAACTCTAAGTCATCACGTTTTCAAAATGGCGTGCTACACAGACAGGATGAAGGGAGTTAAGGAGGTTAACTACGAAGAAGCGTTTCAGAACGCGAAGGACGATTTGCGTTATCAGTTAATTTGGGTGCATTTTAAAGACGAGCCTGATTTTGTGAAAATTATCGAAGACGATGATGCATATGAGAGAATATATGGTAAGTTCCGAGTATTTAGGCTATGTTTCCACTATATCGGACAGCTTTCCGTAGCGGCGCAAAAAAAACACCTATCCGATACGGAATGTACAAGTTTCAGAAGCTGAGCGAAACAACATCTCTCCGTTGCAATAATTCCTTTGAAAATAGCGTTCCTAAAAGGTACGGATAGCTGTTTTTCACGTCGCTATATCTGGTACAGTGTAAACGTGGCCATTGTCATTCATTTAGCCAGAATTGATTCTGGAATTCAATGGGTGTCCAAGCTTGGAATTCGACCCAGTTAGTTAGACATGAACTTGTGGTTAGAGCTCGACAACTGGACTCTGCATGTAGTTCAGTTGGTTAGAGCGCTGCACCGGAATCGCAGGGCCGCAGGATCGATTCCTGCCAGCTATAGTTGCACTTTTTTGCTCCTGGTTAGGTATAATAAATGTATGTACATTTCCACTCGATAATTTCCATCTATAATACCCATCTATATTCTATGTAATACCTGGTACAGCGCGCTAACTATTATCCTTTTTGTGTATAGCTGAGGTTTTGGACAGCGAAGGTTTCCGAGGATCGTACGCCGTGCACTGTCGCAGACGTTGTGTGGTGCGTTTCGTTGGCGTTCTCTACGAGTACAGTGAGAGGTTTCCACCACGCGTTGGCAATCGCGTAGCGCTGGAACTTGGCGTGAAATACATCGCGTATAATCTCAAACGTTCTCAGGAGTTCGACTTGACGAAGCTTCAGAGATTGAAGTTTTATAACAAAGCTTTAAAGATGGAGATGATTATGCTCAAAGAGGATTTAGAATGGAATGATGATCTCAACGATGACATGTTTAATGAAATACAACGCTTTGAAAGAAACGTGGAACGCGAGCGAGAGGAGAATGAAAGGTTTGTGCCATGATGGTTTTTGCCAGAGCTTCGCGCAGACAATGCCAGCTATTTCCAGTCTTCCGAGAATAAGCAGTCAAAACGCGGGCGTTTGACCCTTAAAACCTTATACAGCCGAATCCCTGTGAAGCGGATCCCTTCGGGAGCTCACCGATGTATGCGTCCACTTGAAAGGGGTGTCCGCTTAATGGGGGGAGAGATGGGGGGCGGGGGGGTTGCAATGATAATAGTATTTTATGAAAGAAATCATTGGGACGGGAGGTATGTCTCCTTAAGAGAGGCAGGGGTGGAAAAAATAGGCGAGCACTGCTCGCAGGAAATGTTAAACAGCTGCAGGGTATCCCTAATGAATGAAGATTTGCTATTGAAAATTGGAAGGAAACCTTGGAAGGAGACATTATTCCTTGAATTTAAAACCATGGTCAGCTAGAACACTACTGTATATGTTTATGCACATGCAGATTTAGCACAAAAATACTCCGTTGGTCTGCAGGAGATTTTTGTCTCCAGGTTGTGCTCCCAGGAAGAAAATGCTTTTTTCCTGCCCTGAAGAGCGGTATCCGTTAACAGGGCTTCGACTGCATTTATCCATATTTCATTCATTTCTCCTTTTCAAGGTTACTGCTAAAAGGCAAAGCAAGGAAGGCCGAGATTGAATTACTCAACTATCGGCTTCTCAAAGAATTTGGTGTTGAACAACAGAGAGAAGCCAAACAAAAGAAAGTGAAGAAAGCCTTACCAAAACCAAAACAAAAAGCTGCAAGCAAAGATGAAGACGATGATGGGGACAGTTTTGAGGAGAAATTCAACTCAGTCAAGACTTCTATTAATCGAGGATTCACTTCAATTGCCAAGGATTAGCTGCATGCAGACGAAACTGACTAAATAATAGAAAACTTGTTCTTGTAGTGTATCTTTAGCTAATCAACATTCCCTAAAAAATGAATGTTAATCTTATATATAAACTGTTTATTTATCACATGTCAATTAACTTTTGCACTATTTCTAATTTGCACTGCTTGTAATATAGATAGGTCCACAAATTGTGTTCGTTCTTTGTTGATGTTTTCTATGGTAATTGTTTTCTAAAGAATGTGTTTTTAATGAAATAGATAATCCGTGTATTGCGATACAATTAATTGTATGGTTTTCTTCAAAATTTTCACCACTGAAATTATTGCTTGTATAAAATATTTTTGGACACAGTCGAAGACTTTCTAAGGGCGCCACTGGCAGCCACCTTATGACTCATGTCTGATCATGGAGCAGAGCTACGGTAGAAAGGGTCAGTTCAGAGATATTTCCAACCCACCCAGTCAACATTCCCCGTTGGAGGAAACTGGAATACCTGGAGAAAACCCACGACTTTCGGTGATGCGTTGACTGATTCACATAAGTGTGTAACGAAGAATCGAACCCACAATCTCAGAGGTAAAAGTTCAAAAGCGATACCGTTAATTCATTGTTTGAAAACACCTTAATTTGTGTGTAACCATAAATTAAAATGTTATTGTTACAAATTGTAAGCCGCCGATGTATTATATCTTAGATTGACGACAAGCGTTTATTTTAACTGACAGTAAATAATTTCGGGATATGCTTAAAACTGAATGTTTGGAGGGGTTACCTAAGAAGAAGAGGAGGAAGAGGAAGAAGAAGAGGAGGAAGAGGAAGAAGAAGAGGAGGAAGAGGAAGAAGAGGATTAAGAGGATCTTCCTCCTCTCCTCTTCTTCTTACCAAAGGCGAAATAATACTACAGAAATATGTAACTTACAGCAACTCATACTGAAAAGTTATATTTTCTTGGGGAAAATGCGTGGAAATGTCAGATATTTTCACAGACGATTTTTGGCAGACCTCGAAGAGATCCTGCAGTCAGAAAGTGTTTTTGTCAAACAGGAAGATCAGAAATCTGCTTGGTTCTTGGTTCACAAAAAGGCATTTTGTGCAACCTCTTCAGAACTTATTTGCAGTTTTTACAATTTGAAAAATTTTGCGCAGATTTCCGAAGAATATTTGCGGAGGAAATTAATTTCCTCCGAAGCCAAAACTTTACAGTCTGGTAAATAACTTGTCGGAATGTTTTTATGTATATCTTAAATATTTCTCTCTTAACCAAAAACATGTATTTTTAATTCGTACGGGGTGTACTTCGACCTCATTAAAAAGACCGATCGATTTTCTCGAACGTGTAATTTTTAACCAAAATATATATTTATATACTTCATACCACAGCTCGATGAAATAAAAAGGCCGACTGGACAACAAAATTATGTATTATAAATTTATTGCGCGTTGTTTAGATTTCTATATACCTGTTTATTTTGGCGTCGGCAAATTTATTGTGTTCATATAGTGTGTATAGGTCTTAACTTGGAGCAGCTATTTTCCCTATCATTGAATTACCATCATTCCTCCGTGAAAAATGGATCTGCACGGCAATATTTTTAAGGAAGCTTCAGTTGAATGCGAATTTTCGTTTGCTGAGGTGATTGAAAATGAGATGGAGGAATTGAGAGACAGATTACTCCAGGTTTATTTCAAAGATGAACCGACGCTTTACGATCTGATAAGCGACGATGAGAAGTGGGAAGAATACTTTCGTAAGTAATACGAGTTGATGAGGGTTGAGAGTTTGAATGAGAGTTTTCTCAACTGTCATGGGCCGGTCAAACGAGAACAAGAGTTGCATGAGAGTTGAGAAGCGAGAGTATGAAGAATTATGTTAACCCGCTATATTTAACTGCAGAGTTTAAAACTTTAGGGGATGTTGTTATTCAGTAAAAGAGAATTTTTTTATATTTTTAGACGAATTGGTGACGGAAGATGATCCAAGAGAATTATTCGAAGACCATTTCCATCGTCAGCTAACCCATCGGTATGCCGGAACCCTGGCTGGCCGAACCACGGTAAAACCTGAGAAAATAGTCCGTCAGATCGCGCTGTTTGTCGGGACCTACTACATTGCATCCTACATCCGATCCAAAGAACTCCTCCTGAGCCCCGAACACAACTTAAAGTGTGCTAACATCATGCTCAAAATCGAAATCCGTTCCCTTGGAAAAGATTTGGAACGCAGAGACGACCTTTGTGATGATTTGCTGAATGAAATCTACCGCCACGAGAGTAAGATCGATGAGAAAGCGGCCGAAAACGACGAGCTCATTTTGAAAAACAAAAGTCGACGGGCGAAAATCAATCTCCTACGAGAACAGTTGAAAAGACTTGGAAACTCGGGGAAATGTGACGGAGCGAAGTGCGGTGGTAATGTTGACCCACCCTCGGCTAAAAATCCCTCGGGCAAATCCAAAGAGAAATCGGAGAAGAGTAAAAAGAAAGCCGAAAAAGAGAAACCTCCTTCTTCAGACTCTTCAACTACAAGCGACGAGGAGAAATGACTATATGATGGCGACATCAGCTCTGAACAATCAGCCATCAATAGTCCCAACTCTGAGAGAAAATTCAAACATTTTATACCAAGTGAAAAATGTTTAAATGCAGCATGTGGCTACGATTCTGGATTTGAACAAATTGAGTTTTAAGATTGTCATCACTTTTGTACTATATGCATGCATGTTTTTAGCAGGGCAGTAGTTTTTATGTAGTCTTCAATTTTTCTTGTTTTCATGTACTATAGATATGCAGACGGATTTTTGACAATATAGTTATATTCTGGGGCCAGTTATTCGAAAGACGATTAGCTCAACCCTGGCCGGTTAACCTATAATTCAAACCAAATGTCTCAACTATTTCTTATGAAACTTATGATGGAAATATTTCTTATGAAACTTATGATGCTGGATTTGAACAAACTGAGTTTTAATTCTGTGCTTTCCATGTATGGCTATGTACATAATTATCTAACATTTTCTGTTTCTATGATGTAGTGAATTTTGGAGTTTAGACTTTAGGATTCTAGGTTTGCACAAAATAATTTAGTCAGTTTTGTAATTTTAACATTTATGTCTTTGTAATCCATGTGTAGAAACGTTTATTTAGCAATTTTTAGTATACTTACTTAGTTTCTACAACTATTCTTAAGTTTTAGATAATTATTTAACATTTTTGTAGAATAAAAATTATTATATGTACAGTAGTTCTTGTAGTTATTCCCCTTCTAACATGGAATTATGGGGAGCGGGCGGGGGCATAATTTCCGAGGACAAACCCAGTTCAAAATCAATCCCGGCTGAGAATTTCAGTATGAATTTTAAAAACTGAAATTATAATAGGTGTTATTTAATGATACCTTGACCTATTAGGTCCATAACCATCTCTTTTCTTTTGCTGTATGAAGGGAGGTTGATTTGCTGGAGGGGGAGGTCTGGGGAGATTTTGATGTCCCGACATTTGAGAAGTTCCAAATAGTGGAAAGGTCCTGTCGGGAAGTGGAAATTGATTGCCGGGTGGCAGTGGGGAGTTGGGAGGGGGGTTTACCCGAGGTCCTTGAATCTGCTGGTGTACATCTCGCTGTGGATAATTCTGAAGAAAATCGAGGGAACTAGATTAACTTGTGCGAGAAAGTAATTTCCTCCAAAGCCAACACTTTAAAGTCATCACCATTAATCTAATATTCATATTTATTAACTGTATAATGTTGTCAAATAGCATGAAATACCTGTTGAAATTGGTATCCTGGATTCATGTTTTCTGGTGGACCAGGCATCCTGTTTATGCCCATTGGTGGAAATGGTGGGATGTTTGCTGGCATGGGAAGAGGGGAATACAGCTGAACTAACGGAGGGGAGGGACTCCTTGGTCGTTTCATACCTGATATATATGGCAAATAGAAACTTGATAAATAATCTGGATAATTAAAGTAAACAACAGCTGACAAACTTTGAGATATTTAAGAAATATCATAAAGTTTGTTAGTTGCTGTTTAACCCATTGAGTCGCATTGAGCCCTGATATGCCCTACTTTATTATTTTACTCTGTCTAACGCCAGACGATTTTACTCATCAAGGGGAGAGCGCCGGCGCTTAATGGCTTAACAAGTTATAACAGCAGGTTAAATTTTAACTGAGGGTTATCACCACAGAATAAGGCACACAGAAGGTTGACTCGAGTAACCGCTGCCACGCCATGATTCATCATCAAAATGCTGACGCCATGGTCCTAGCCAGTGCGCGTTTGAGAGGCATTCCCGGATTCCCCCCCTGGACGTCTACCATTTTGAATATTATCAGGGGGGTTGAATGCCCCTCAAACGTGCACTGGCTAGGACCATGGCGTCAGCATTTGATGACGAATTACGGGTTATGCCAAAATCATAGGAAAAACCAAGAAGTCGGCCTTCTGTCTCTATTCTGTGTTATCATTAATCCAGCTCGGCACCCGAAGCACTATGCATCTTGCCGGGTAGTCCATCGCTAGTATATATTGGATCATTGGCTACCTGGTCTAAATGGTGAAATGTTAATCATCGCTGCTCCAGGGCTAATGCTGGGATGATGCATGAACGGCGATGGAAAGCCTTGCATCTGTTTCTCTTTTTCCTTGTGCTTTTTACTGTCAACTAAACTTAATTTCACTATTTCAAAAAATCCATGCTTTTTCTCTTTTAACTTGCTCAACATTGATTCCAGTTCTGCTAACTGTGCTTGAATATCATTCAATTCTTGCTGTTTTTGTTCGCGAATTTCTCGAGCAGTTGGCTTTACCGGACTATTTGGTATAACATCCTGAGCTATAGGCGAAGTTTGTTTGTCAATATCATCAGCTGTTGTTCCATTTTGAATTGCTTCTTTTCTTTCCTTTTTTCTAGTAATATATGACCCTAAAGCCTGATACTGAGCTTCCGTTAAACGTTTCCTTTCATAAGTTATCAAACTTGGCATTGTAACAGCAAAAAGAAAGGATATTTTTATGTTTTTTTTCCAATTTTCTTCCATAAATTTTCTTCTATAAACAGAATCCAATATACCGGGGGGTTGAAAAATAAATATTTGTTCCCAGTTTTCTGAAATATACATTCACAACGCACTTTTATTCTATCGCTTCACCCCCCTGCATTTGTTGGCCGCCATGTTTGCCCAGAAGAAAACTGCTCGCCCTAGTTCTGGGCAAAAAAAACATGACTTAGGAATGGTAAGGGATGAAATTAAACTTGTTTTGTGTATGGTTAGAATAGCTTTGTTCTTATTGTACGCGTTTCTTGAGGTGAAATTATCATTTTGACACTTTATGGTATGTATTGTTAAAAGTATTTCTCAATATTTATAATCATTGTTTTGTTAATTGTTTTTATTATTCATGATATATATATATATATATATATATCAAAAGTAATAAATGCAATAGTTTAGACAAAAATATATTGGCATTAAAAAGGGCCACGTACATATTTAAGTTGCCAAAGCAAAATGTCAAATTGACATTTTATCTACATGACTACAGCTAGCTAGAACGTACACCTAGCCAGGTAGTGGAGTTTTGACCGTATTTGGGGATATATGCTTTATTACAGGGTGAATTTAGAAATACGGCCGGCCAACATACTATACTATTTTGTAATATGTCCACAGTTGTTTATTTTATAAGCAAACCAATCACAATGCAAGGTAAAAATAGCGAGTAATTAAGAATAGGCGTTGCCAATATTCATATTGCAATACCTTGTCAATCAAAGTGGCTCGATGCAAAAATACAAAATATTATAGTATGTTGGCTGGCTGTATTTCTATCATTACCCCGTAAGCCCTGCCCCTACATACAGCCAAAGCTCCGCTGGCTAAACACCACTGGGTCAAATATGAAAATGTCAAGTGCGACATTTGAAAGATTATTCATTTTCAAATTTGCCATAGTCATGGCATAATATAGTTTTGAGCCACCTCCCAAATGTCAATTTGATCACAGGATAGAGATCTTGTGCAAGAGATCGGAAGAG